ATAGTTTATGAGTGTCTTCTTTATTACTTGAGCTGATATTTTGAAGATGACCACAGGCCGTACTAAATGTGCACATCTCAGAAAGTAGAGTTTCCTGTTCATCCAAAATGCCTTTGTCATCATTTCCAATATGGTTATCAGGATCTGTCTGAAATGCAGAGGGATTTAAACTAGGATACGCTGCTGTGTGTGTTTGCTTGTCCACTAACAGACTATAATCGGGTGCAGAAGAGAGTCGTTTCAGTGAGTTTGCAGATGTGTTTTGATATTTGGCAAGGTTTTGTTTTGACTTGGTACAAAATTCATTATGTTCATCCTTCAATTTATATTGTCCCCAAAGCCCTCTTTTAATCTTTTTAAAACCTAGATGGAAAATTTCTAAAACATTTAGGAAAAGTGAAACAGTCGCTATGGATTGCATGAATAATAGGAATATCGTCTTTTCTGTGGGTCTAGAGACAAAACAATCAATTGTATTTGGACATGGGTGGCCGTGGCATTTAAATAGAGGCTCTAAGTGAAATCCATATAAAAGATACTGTCCAATCATGAACCCAACTTCAACCACAGAGCGAGTGAAAATGTGTATCACATAAGTGCAAAGCAAGGTTCCTCTGAGTGGAACTTTATTTACTTTCCTTTGCTCCAGCTGACACAGTTCTTCCTCCAGTCGCCTCCGATCCCCAGGTGTTTCAAGCTCTACCTCCTCCAGTTCACCTCTCAGTTGTGCCTTCTTCGTCTGCCTCTCCTTCTCCAGAACTCTCAGTCGGTACAAAGCATGGCCCATGTAGACCAGGGATGGTGAAGACACAAATATCACCTGCAAAACCCAGTATCTAATGAGGGAGATAGGGAAGGCCTGATCATAGCATACATTTCTGCAGCCAGGTTGTTCTGTATTACAGATGAAGCCAGACTGCTCATCATTCCAGACATCTTCAGCTGCTACACCCAGAACAAGCATTCGAAATATGAACAGGATGGTGAGCCACATCTTTCCAATCACGGTGGAGTGGATGTGAACCTCCTCCAGGATGCCTCCAAGGAAATTCCAGTCCCCCATGTTTATTTAGTCAGTCATCTTATCTCTGAACCCCACCAAATAGGAGGCAGATACATTCTTCCATTTCTGAAGCATGTGCTATTTGTTAAGCAAACCTGTGGCCAAAATATGAACAAAGCATCATTCTTTCAGCATGCTGGTTGCTCTCTTTTTTCCCTAGAAAGTTGTAATAATATGTTACCAAGAATATCTTTAAGATGTCAAGAATAGGAGGTCACTTATATTTAGACCTTATAATGCAGTAGGGGGAAAAAAGATACCTGGAGGAGGGGTGATGTATTCCCTATGAAGAATAGAATTATGGGAGTTCCTGAAAGAAAGGAGTCTTACTTGGCTTTTTGCTTTGTTATTTTAAACTGAGAACTCTTAGAGAGATTCCTGAGACTACTGACTTGATCTTACAAACCTATTTATTAAAATTATTTTATATGAAAGCTGTGACCAATGTCAGTGATTTTAAAATCTCATTTATGTACAAAGAAAAAGGCATGTGTTTCATTTCATAATCCAGTAAGGTACAGCATTTTATGAACCTGAAGGAAACAGATCTGGCTCTTGCTATAAGAATTTAGATCTGTTTTTTAATCCACATTTAAATGTCTAAATTCTAGCTTCTTGCAGTTTTTGAGCATTTTCAGAAATCATTTCAGTAAAAATATTTATGAATATTTATGTAATTATTACTGTACTTTGCTATGAAAAATTGTTATGAGGATGTTATTATATATTGCTTGGATCATTGGTATGTTGGTAGTATTATAGAAATTTTCATTACAACAGTATTTGACCCTTTTAAGACATATAGCTTGCTTTGTGGAGCAAACATTAGGGCAAGTTATAAATTAGATGCTTGGATTATCGGCCAGTAGGTTCCTTATTAGAGCTGATACCCTGGGATATCTAAGAGGAAATACATCTCAAAGGAAAGAAATAAATGGGGGAATGTTTTCATTCATTTTCATTTAATATGTAAATGAATGTCCTGTATTCCTCATAGAAAGGGAAATGTTACACAATCAAACAACATAATGGGATATTATAGCTACAAGATACATCCATCACAAAACTCCTGTGAGCTAGGTATGTTGTTTCCCCATTTTACAGATGAGGAAACTGAGGTACACCTTAAATTACCCAAGATCACACAGCTAGAACTGGTATTCAAAGATCAATGTGGTTCTAAAGTCACCTCTTAACTGTTTTACTAAACTTATTTTTCTTCTCTAAACACACTTGAAGTTTTTATGAAAGAGATACTAAGAAATCACCTATTTTCTCTTATAATTTTAATTATTTAAATTAGGTATGTCAAATAGTGAAAGTTTTGATTTTTTAAATAACAAGTTCTAGAGTCTTTAGTTCCTTTTTGAAAGCTTTATACAGTTCAAAAGAGTTGCAAAAGCATCAACCTTCTAAAATTTAGTTGTATTCCTGAAATAGAGAAATTTTGTATTTGATTTTATTATGTTAATATCAGTATACTCTGACCCAGAGCCAAAAGCACTTTAAAATATAAGCAAAGATATTATTGCTGTTTATAATAATTATAACTTGAAACTATCCAAAATAATTATCAATACAAGACTGTATTGTACATATAAATAATAATACATCCACAGTATGGTACTATGCAACCAGTAGAGATAATAAATATATACTAATATAAATATACATTGGATATATTGTTTCAGTGACATTCGGGTTATAAAACAGAATAATATAGCCCCATTATTGTAAATTTATTTATATGTAGAGATGCATACAATAAAGCCTAGAAGGATATTCATCAAAATATTAACTGTGATTATCTATGGGTAGAATAATAATTGACTTAATTTTTTATAATTATATATATGTTTAATTTCTTTTACCGTGAGCACTTTATTTTTAAAATTACCAAAGAAAATTAAAGTTGTTTTTTTTTTTCCTGAAAGGACAAATGCATAGTATTTTCTGAAAGAGGAAGTACTGTTATGTAGCTTCAAATCTTAGGTCCTAAAGCTTTCATAGCAAATAGCATGAATACTAATATACACAGATAACAGTACCATAAAATTCAAAAGAAAAAAATATTTCAAATGACTCTTCGTTAGCTAAGACAGAGAGATTAACACAGACCTTTCTTGATTTAGGTAAATTTGAAGCAGATCACGCTTAAAAGTTATACCACAGCCATCTTCAACGTGTTTTCTGAATGTGTCCCTTTGCAGGTGTAGAGCAGATTCAGTTTGGTTCAGCGCAGTGAGTCAGCCATCAGCTAAACTCGATCTCCCTGCCTTCATTCTTGCTTCTTAAACAGCGCCACCCAATGGAAGTTTTTTTAATCCAATGGAACTTTTTGCAGCAGTGTTGGAGTACTTCTGCACTGTTCAATAAGATAGCCACTATTAATACATAGCTATTGAGTACTTTCTACGAGGCTTGTGTAACAGAGACACAGTGTTTAATTTCATTTAATTTTAATTAAATGCAAACAGCTACATGTGCCTAGTGGCTACCTTATTGGGCAGCCCACAGAAAGAATATTTCCAATATTTCTAATTAATACAGCACAGTTTAGAAGACTAAAACTATGAGCCCCAAATTAAGCTGAATAAATGGTTCCTCTATTATTCAGAAATGTCAAATTTAAAATGCCAGACATATGTGTGCTTTTTTAATGGTAACTTTGCCCCCTGAAGACCCAGAAAGATATCACAGTTTTTGGTAATGTAAACAATGTTTCTAGTACCAAAATAACCTAACTAGATAATAACTTCTTAGTCATCAGTCTTAATAATCAATGGGTCATGTCCGATTTCATAGTTAGATGAATCCTGTTTCTCTGTCTAGTTTTCTGTTATTAACAATTACTTTGCACTTTAGGTCATTAAAGATCTCCAGAGTACTGACCTGGTGGGTTGGCGATGGCAGATAAATATTTCTTCCTTGGGCTTCTTTGCCATCTAATAGCTACTTTTCAGTTTAAATTCAACCCTTTCATTAGGAAATATATATATATATTCATACTTGTATAGTACATATTATATAAATTGTATATTATGTGCAATATATAAATTATAAGTAAATAAATTAAGTGCTATGCTTCATTAGTGTTACATATGAATTAAAATGGTATTTTTTAATCAAAATGTAAATTTTGTCAAGATTTATAAAGCCACCTTTTGGCAAATATATGAGGAAACGGTTACTGCCATGTAATATCAGTAAGAATATAAACAGATACAGCTATTTAAAAGGTAATTTAGGGAATTCCCTGGCGTCCCTGGCTAGAGGGGCTTCCCTGGTGACTCAGCGGTAAAGAATCTGGCGGCAGTGCAGGCGATGCAGGAGACCCGGTTCCATCCCTGGGTCGGGAAGGTCCCCTGGAGGAGGGCATGGCAACCCACTCCGGGATTCTTGCCTGGAGAACCCTATGGACACAAGACCCTGGCAGGCTACAGTCCGTAGGGCTGCAGAGAGTTGACTACAGCTGAAGCAACTTAGCACACACCAGTGGTTAGAACTCAGAACTTTTACTGTGGTGGTCCAGGTTCAATCCTTGGTTGGGGACCTAAGATCCTGCAAGCTGTGTGGCACAGCCAAAAAAAAAAAGAGGTAGTTAGAATCTATCAAAAGTAACACAACATTTCTGCTTCTGGATGCCTGAAATATCCATTCATTCAATCATTCTCAAAGACACACCATACATACTAGAGTGATCACATGGCAGTGTTGGTAATGGTACAAAATCAGCAGCAACTTAAGTGTTCAATAAGAGGAATGGTTAAGTAAACAATAGCACATCTTTTTTGTTTAGTTACTAAGTCATGTCCGACTCTTTGTGACCCCATGGACTGTCAGGAGCTCCTGTGTCCATGGGATTCTCCATCCTGGAGTGGGTTGCCATGCCTTCCTCCAGGGGATCTTCCCGACCCAGTAATCAAATGCACGTCTCCTGTGTCTCCTGCATTGCAGATGGATTCTTTACTCACTGAGCCATCTGGGAAGCCCTGTCATTTGCAACCTTTAAGTCCTGCCCCCTCTTAGACAAATTACTTGATTTTTTTTTTCTGAGAGTTCTCATAGCCTCCTCTCTAAGATGCAGAGTAATAGCTGCCTTTCTGGGTTGTTAAAAAGATTAGCAATAATGCACGTAAAGCACCCCAAACAGTGACCTGTTGACTCAGACAGTGATGGAAAGTGATCATCGGTAGTCTGACAGATATGAAAAGTTTTTATTATCAGCAGAGTACATTATTTGTGGATTCTATCAAGCAGTCTCTATACCATATCCTCCTAAGAGCAAGTTCTTTTAAAGAATGCATACCCTTGACATGGCATGCCTAGAAAAGAGCCAGTCTCTGCTTCTCACTTCCCCTCCCTTTTCTCTCTTCCTCTTCCCCTTCATTCCCTCAGAAGAGCTCCTTCCTTAAACCGTAACCCCTTTTGTAAGCAGTCTTTGAAACCGACAACTTCAGGGGTGTTCTCTTTATAAAATTGTTAGCATTTGCTGGGACTTCTCTGTTTCTTCATAGAGAGTTCTCCAGTTTTGTTTTTTCCCCCCAGATGGCCCTTTTTATTCACTGGTTTTTTTAAGGGCAAGTCAGTTCACTGGAAATAGGAAAATGTTGAAAAACACAGCAAATAAAACAAAAGCTAAATAAGCTGCAATCGCTGTCCAAAACCTTGGATCTTTCAGCAATGCCTGATCAAAGCAGCTGAACACGGTATAACCAATGGACATTCCAGCAAATCCACCTGCAATGTGAGCTGCAAAAGACACCTTGGGAGAAAAGGAGAAAATGAAAATAAGTGAAGAAAATGCTAATTGTATATTTCAGCTGCATCTCTCTTACTAGAGAACAAATAACCATCCCAGTCAAAGAGTCTTAAAAGTCTGAACAGCAAGGTAGTGAGACAAAAGAGACAACAAAACTCCATCATGCAAAGCTAAAAGAAATGTCATTTCACTGACTCTTGAGTACACACAACAGCCATCCTGTCTCTCTTCTAGGCCATCATTACATTTAGGATGGTTCTGTACAAGGCCAGCCAAGAGAGTAGGAGTTGAGATTAGTGAGGGTTCTTTACAGGAGCATAATCTATCCCACATAAATGGAATGTCTGAATTAAAACACAGGTAATAACATACACACAAATACTCAGAAATTACAAAATTCAGGAACCAATTTCAATAAAACTGGAAATCTTTGTCAGTTTTCTTTATATTATAAATTCATCTGGACCCATATCATTGCTGCTTTCCAATCTGCATTTTATTCTCCATAGACAGTAAAGTCCCTTCACTCCCATTTTTTGGAATAGCTACCCGTATAGCAGGTGCAAAGAACTAGAGCCAATTATCTGGGCTATGAGAGAAGTGAAAAGGATAACCCAAAAGGCCAGTTTGCTCAGGAATTTTCTTAACTTCCACATGGAAATCTTGACAGCTTTAAATCTCCGAATTGTTGCTGCCCCTGTTTTGTGACCCTTCTTAGCTATTGATATCATAGGTAGACAAATTTTCATTTAAAAATTAATAAACTGAACTCACCGGAGACCCATTTGCAGGAACAAAGAACCGTCTGTAGAGAGCAAATCCCATGTCCGACGCAACTAGAAGGGAAAACAGCCTGATGAAGCCCCAGGATCTCCACAACAGCGTACCAGTTATTTTTGGTTCCCCTCTAACAATGGTAACATTTATTGAGACTTACTCTGCGCCAGGTACTGTTCTGAGAACTTTACATGTGCTGCTACCTTTGTATCATTAATCCTCACAACAATGCCATGAAATTGGTACTGTCATTATGATCCAACGAGTATTTATTAATGATCTCCCATGTGCCAGCCATTATTCTAGGTGGTGGATTTCTAGGCAGTAGCCAAGAAAAGATCAGACTGCCTCATGGAACTGAAAGTCTAGCTGGGGAAGGCGAATGAATAAGTAAAACATACAGTATTGTCAAAGGATGCTTAGTGCTGTAGAGAGTACACAAAGAGGAGAATTGAGAATGCTGGGAGCAGGGTGTGGTGGTTAACCGGAGAGTCAGGAAGGATCTCAAGGAGAATACGCCATTTGATGAGGATAAAGGAGCAAGCCATGCTGACCTTTCAAAGAGCCTTCTAGGCAGACTGAAGTACAAAGTCCCTAAAGCAGGACCAGCCGTGCCTGGAGTGTGTGAGGAATACCAGAGCAGTTGATCTGATGGCATCGACGGTTTTCAAAGGATGGTTCCCTTTCCCACTGGGGATTCCCAGCTTCACTGGGAACTTACTAGAAATGAAAACTCTCAGGCCCACCCCAAACTTACTGAACCAGAAACTACAGGTACGACTCGACAGTCTGTGCTTTACCAAGACCTGATTCTGGACTCAAGTTGGGGATGAAGTTGTAGGTGAGGCGATCAAACCATGGCAGATGGGAGGTCACGTAGAGTCTTATGGACCCTCGTAAGGACTTTGACTTTTACCCTTCAAGAGCTTTTGAGCACAGAAGTGACATGTGTGACTTGGGTTTTTAATAGTTTTTATTTATTTATTGGCTGTACTGGGCCTTCACTGATGCATGAGCGGCCAGTGGGGGCTACTCTCCAGTTGCGGTGCACAGGCTTCTCATTGCAGCGGCTTCTCTTGCTGAGCACAGGCCCTAGGGTTCAAGGCTTCAGTCGTTGCAGCCCCCTAGGCGCGATCGTTGTGGCGCCTGGGCTTGGTTGCTCCATGGCATGTGGGATCTTCCCTGATCAGGGATCGAACCGTGTCTCCTGCACTGGCAGGTGATTTCTTTACCACTGAGCCACCAGGGAAACCCCCTGACTCACATTTTTAAAAGATGATTCTTGCTGCCGTATAGAAAACATACTCTAAAGAAGCAAAGACAGAAGCAGGCAGACAAACTAATTACTGCTATTGCACCACCTCAAGTGAGGAAAGACCTGGTGTTTTATACATAAAGAAACCAAGACACAAAGGCTAAGTACTCGACCAAGGCCACATAGCTCTGAGGCAGTGGTGGGATTTGAACCTTAAGCCGTCTGACTGTGGGGACTTCACTGTCACCCACCTAAGCACCCTAGATTAAAAGATGAAAGCCCACACCTGGTCTTGAAGATCCCAAACGAGCCCCCAAGATGAAAGGTTGTGGCTCTGAGCCGTGAATGATGCCGGGATTCTTGGCCTCCAGAGGAAAGGATTTTGATGTGGAGCCAGAGATGAGGCTTGACCACTTGGAACTTTTGTGTAGCCAAGTTTTATTAAAGTATAGAAGAGATAGAGAAAGCTTCTCACGTAGACATCAGAAGGGGGCAGGAGAGGAGCCCCTTTCCAGTGTTTTGCAAGTCATCTTACAGGCTTTAGCAAGCTGTTGATCATAGATAAAAGAAACACCTCAAGGCTCAGAGAGTTGTACCGAGTGCACTGTCTCCCACAACAGACATATCTACACAAGGGGAGGCATCTCTGGGCAAGATACTAAAGGAAAACAGACCTCCAAGCAAGATACATAGTTTTATTAACATAGCCTAAGAAAAACATTCCCATGAGTAAGATGTATTGTTTTGTTGGGCAATCAGCCCCTCAAGGTTGGGAAAAAGTAACTGAGGAACAGCCGATTGCAACAGAATTAAAGGAATCTCCTACCTGGCTAAAGCAGGAGCAAAGGAATGTAGAAAAATCCGTTGCCATTTATCTCCTCCTGCAGCTTGGGGACCTTTGGCCCCCTTAGTGAGACCTGCCTACCCATTAACCCTTTCATAATTACCATCAGGAATACAGAAGACAGCCCAAGAAAGGAAGTGATTCCACAGTCAATAATGGAACAGTAAAAGCCAGAACTTAGACATTCCTTAAATAAGTCATGTTGGTGATGCTAAAGGACCTTCCAGGCTTCTTGGGTTGGAAGAAATCTGCCCTACATGTGTGCTTGGAAACATCTGCAACTGTCACATTCCACACCCATCCCCCAATACCCTATGCTCTACTTAGTGAGTGTCCTAGGAGACCGAAAGACCTAGTCCTTGCCTTTGGGGAAATAGCATCAGGACCATGTGTTCCGGACTAGCTTCCCTTTCAATATAATATTGACTCTGAAGTCACTGGGTAGGAATTGAGGTCGAGGAAGTACTCAATATTAATTTAATTGTAAATGACTATCACACCAAATGCTATAAATATGGCTATTATTGTATTTAAGTCATTTGCATTTCCTGATGGAGTGTAAATAACATACAGTGCTAGGAAAACATAAGAAAACCACCACAAGGAAGACTTCCTAGAAACAGTTACTGTGGTCTAGACTTTCACAGTAGGAGGCCTTCTTTCAGAAACTCTGTAACTCTTAGCGTGTCAGTTTCTCCATTCAGTTTGTCTCCTGCCTTCTGACTTGTATCTGCCTGGCCCTTTCTGCTTCTAAGGGGAGTTTACTTCTAAACTGCTGCAGTCTCTAAACTGAGACCTGTCTTCCCACCTGAAAAGAAGCCCTTATTCCGATAAACCAAATCATTATCTTCAGTAAAACCCAACACTCACTTTAAGGGAGTTGCCTTTATATGGGTTTTTTGAAGGATGAAAATCGAGATGTCCTGAACTTTTTCCAGGGAAGCTCAGTTGCTTTGTTAGAAAACACATTTAAAAACTGGTGCTCAATGAAGGAAGTCCTTAAGGCCAGCTGTCCTTCACAATTGAGAATAGTATTTACCATTAAAAAAAAACTATAAATTTTCCCAAGGAAACGTGTTTAAAATTAAAATGTATTTGTGTTTCATTAATCTGGAGTTTGTTGTCTGCATGCATGCTCAGTTGTGTCTGACTCTTTGGGACCCCATGTTCTGTAACCTGCCAGGCTCCTCTGTCCATGGAATTTTCCAGGCAAGAATGCTGGAGCAGATTGCTCTTTCCTTCTCCAAGGGATCTTCCCAACCCAGGAATCCAACCCACATCTTGCATCTCCTGCATTGGCAGACAGCTTCTTTACAGCTGAGCCACCAGGGAAACCCCAACCAGGCCAAAGAACTTTTAGAAAAAATGGCATGTGAAGAAGGTTGATGTTAGCTGTCCTACCTGTATTTTTGTTTGTTTTTTCTTTTTCCATTTATTTTTAGTTGGAGGCTAATTACTTTACAACATTGCAGTGGTTTTTGTCATACATTGAAATGAATTAGCCATGGATTTACATGTATTCCCCATCCCGGTCCCCCCTCCCTACCTGTGTTTGTAGGATATAATAAAACCACATCATTCAGTGACTGTATTACTTACCTCAAGAATGACAGAATGTTACATAAACTGTTTTTGGAGATAACTTTGTACATGAAGAAACGGTTTTACTGCACCATTAAAGAGTATTAGAGAATTAAAATCATTTCCCCACTGAGAGTTTGAGGCTTATTTTACAAAAGTCATTATTTGAAAGAAACAGATCAACTGAAAACCCAGGTAACTTGTATAAGAATATTTCTCTGTCTAAGGGCCTGTTCTTGGTTCTGGTTGAGACCCTTAACAACTCAGGTAGCCCAGCCCACACAGCGACTCCTCTTAACTAACTCCCAGACACCTGCCCTCCTTCCTGTGCTGACTACTCCTCTTTTTAATTTCTCGGAAATGTCTTTGGAGAAAAACATATACGCTATGGTATAAACTACAAACAAGTCACTTCTTTTCTATCTGGGTGAAATACTGTTTTATAATTATACCATTCATAAACTAGACCTAGTCTGTTTTTGGAACACTTGATATCAATTTGCAGGATCATTTTTTTCCTACTATGTGGACAGCCAAAATTGCATGTGCGTGTGCTAAGTCTCTTCAGTCATGTCAGGCTCTTTGCAACCCATGGACCGTAGCCCACCAAGCTCCTCTGTCCATGGGATTCTCCAGGCAAGAATACTAGAGTGGGTTATGCCCTCCTCCAGGGTATCTTCCCAACCCAGGGATCGAACCCACATCTCTTACGTTGCCTGCACTGGCAGGCAGGTTCTTTACCACTAGCGCCACCTGGGAAGCCCTGACAGCCAAAAGTAGCCTGTATCAAATGTTACTTCTGTCTTTGTCTTCAAGTCTGAGCCTTAAGGTCAGCCTTCTCCCCACACCCTCTGTGCAGATAGAGCTGCAGCAGGAGCAGGCTGGGAAATAGAAGTTACAAGCCCTGCCTTTGCTCTTGTTTGCTTCTGCTCTGTATGGCCTGCCATCATCCAAAATCCTGACTTTCAGACCCAGCTAAAATTCCACCTCTTCTCCAGAATGAGGCTTCCTAAGCTCCTTGAGCATGTCGTTCCCTGCTACCATTCTTGAGATTTCCAAAGCCACGTCTGTCATCCCCGATTCCCTGACCCCTCTCTTCCTCCACCTCTGCTCAGGTCTTCAGTCCTCAGCCACCGCTCCATGCTTACATCCTAGATCAGTTCTGTTTTTAATCTGAAAATGTAGAAATTGAAGAAGAAAGTGGATATCCTGAATAGCTTTTAAGTTTACCCTTTCAAACAAAATCATATACAGAATCTAGTTTATGAATGAGAAAAATCCAGTGTCTAAAAAATAAATGACAGGGACTTCTCTGGTAGTCCAGTGGGTGAGAATCTGCCTCCCAATGCAGAGGATGTGGGATCCCTGGTAGGAGAATGAAGATCCCGCATGCCACAGGGCAGCTGAGCCCACACACCGCAACTAGAGAAGCCCTCGCACCACAATGAAGAGCCCACACAGGCAGAAATAAATAGGGCTTCCCTGGTAGCTCAGTGGTAAAGAATCCACCTGCCAATGTAAGAGACACGGGTTTGATCCCTGGCCTGGGAAGATCCCACGTGCCATGGAGCAACTAAGGCCATTCACCACCACTATTAAGCCTGTACTCTGGAGCCTTAGAACCGCAGCTACTGAAGCCCGCACATCCTAGAGCTGCTGCTCCTCAACAAGAAAAGCCACTGGAATGAGAAGCCCAAGCGCTATAACCAGAGAGTAGCCCCGACCCCTACAACTGGAGAGAAGCCCACGCGGCAACAGAGACCCAGCACAACCAAAACAAGTAAAGTTGGGTAATTAATTTGTTTAATAAAAAAATAAATGACACAGAAAGTAACACAATGTAAAGCAACTATACCCCAATAAAAATTAAAAAAAAATAAAAACATAAGTGATGGTATTGTGGATGAAGTGGACAGAGTACCTCGAGCCCTACACTATTAACTCCCCACACCCTAGAAACAGGCACCTCTAAGAACCACCCACCAGGGCCTGTGAAAATTCCACTCATATCTTTCTACTTCGGGCTAGTAGCCGGACCACTGTTTCAGACTCTGGGCTAACGGTCATCCTACATGTCCATGAGGACGTGTAGGATGTGTTTGGGAAATATGAGAAGGCCTTCTGAAGGTTGAACCCATAAACTTGAAGATGTGAAGTATTCACAAAACACACTTACTTATAAGAACAATGATGAGTAGTCTGACAACTCCAAAAGCAGGAATCATTTCTTTAAAATTCTTGCAAAGAGATAAATGACAGTAATAATAACATAAGTTATCTATTGGCAAAGAAAATCTCAATTGTACGCCCCCTCCATCTGCTTTTTCATTTAAAATAGTGTGTCAGATGTTTGCCAATCAAAGCACCGGTATTAACAGTTGTTTTCAAATGTATTTGGGAAGTACAATGCCAATATACTTTGGAGTGAAAATGAAACATGATATTCCTTGATATAGCAAGAAATACTCTATAAGTAATAAAAAATCAACTCTTAATATGTCACAAATAGTTAATAGATGCTGTCAAACTAAATCTGGTGAAAATATTTCCAAGTTTTTGGTTTAATATTCATTTGATACAGCTTTACCCACTTTCTAAGTAGGAGTTAGCAAAGACAGCTAAAATTTGAGCATTACCTTGATTTTTTTTAAGATAATTTTTTAAAAACTAATACACTGGTCCAAAAATACTCAGTTTGATTTTAGTTTCGAAAAGCCTCAGACCAACTTGCATTACCCTCATGTGTTACCAGTGGACCAAGCAGACTCAGAAAGACACCACCACTTCAACCCAAATTACCCGTCCCTTCCCTTTAAAGTTATTAGCTCTCTTCCCAGAGAAAGATGCTAAAATATCTGTGTTAATTAAAAATCAATTATTTTCAAACTGTTGTGACCAAGACTTACAGTAACAATTTACTTAACAATCCAGCACACACATAAACAGTACTTACTCTTTATTACACATGATGCATACTGAAATTTTTGTGTAAAAGCATTTTCACAATCCCTTCAACTGAGTTCACAACCACTAATGTGATGCAACCCAAAGTTTGAAAAACACTTTTCTAAATGACTTATAGTCTTGGAATAGTTTTTTAATTGCTTCAAACTTTTCCTCTTAGAGTATTTTTAAGCACACCTACATGGTTAAAGGGTTGATTTAATCAGGATTTTATCCTGTTTTAAAAAGTGATTAGCATCTCACATACTATATCATGGTTGTGTAAAATGGTCTGCCAACTTTGGAGGCATTTATATATAAAAATGTAAAGCCTTCACCCAGTAAATCCACTTCTAGGAATTTGCCTATAAAAGAATCACACAAGTACAAAAAAACAGGTGAAAGAACACTCCTGACAGCATTATTTTGAAATGTAAAAAGCTGTAATCACCCTGAATCTTTTCTTTCAATTAAAAATTGAACAAGTACGGCTAGTATATAGAAGGTGCTGTGGAGCAGTTGAAAAGACTGAGGTGGATTTCTGTGTCCTACTCAAGTATCCTATGAGTAGATAGGATACTTTATGTTAAGATGCAGAATAATGTAAGGGTAGTTCCATTTTTGTAGTGTTACTATTGGTAGAATTTTGAATACATACAGAAAACATCTGAACGGATGTATATCAGACTGGTAACAAGATACTGAACTGGGGACTTTGACTTTTCTGTTTTTCAATTTTTAACTTTATTTAGTATTTATCACTTTTGAGATCAGAGATGAAAGGAAAACTCACGGTCAGATGGAAGATGTGTGCTTAGTAAATATTGATAAATAAGATTCCCTGAACCAAATACCAGTAATTACTTAAAATTTTTTCTTAAGGTCCATAGATTGTTTCCCAAAATTCTTACCACTAGAACATTCATAAAATAGCCTCCCATCAGAGCATAGACTCCTCCTGAAGCACCCACAAGAGATTTGAGTGGGTCAAAGATGGAGCTGGCAAGGGATCCTAAAGAAATGAAACACAAAGAATTTCAGACATGACTATAAGAATCATGAAGGATAAATCTTTCTAATCTAAGGTAAAAGTTGGGGAAGCTTGGGCCATTATATTAACAAACAACAAATTCACTTTGTTCCTTCTATACTAGAAAAGTATAGCCATGTGGTCTCTCAATTATTATGAAACATTAAATGTTCAATATGAAGACAGTATAACAGTGACAAAAACAAATACTCTGAAGCCAGAATTAGCAACTGTGTGACTTCAGCAAGTTTTTTAATGTCTCTGTGCCTTTGTTTCCCTTTCTATAAAAATGGAGGTGTTAAATAAAACTAACTTCAGTGGGTTGTCAGGGGAAATAAACGAGTTTACATGTACATCATGATTAGAATACTCCCTGACATGTTATATACTTGTTAGCTGTTGTTTCAAAATATCCTACACGTTTAACCAAAACTATCAAAACACCTGAGACATTCCAACATTTTATTATCTATGGGCTAGCTTTCTCATGGAGTCAAGATGTAGTCTCAGAATCCTTCTTAATATACCATTCAATCAGTTTCACCAAGCAAGATGAAATTCTGTTTGCTAATTCAACCTTACCTTGTCTGAACCAAAATAAGGCTTTAAGACCACCTTATGCGAACTCTGAAGTGTTCTCTATACTGCTTAGTTCTGTCATTCCCTTGCCTTCAAGTCCCTCCTTCATTTTTTAAGATACAGTACAATTCAGTACCTACTTTAGGACTGCCCTAGTGGTCCAGTGGTTAAGAATCTGCCTGCTAGTGCAGGGACAGAGGTTCGATTCCTGGTCCCGGAAGAGCCCACATGCCATAAGACCACACCCTGGAGCTCATGCACTGCAATGAGAGTTGCCACTGCAGTGAGAAGCCAGCTACAGAGCACCCCCACTCCCCGCTCCCCACAACTAGAGAAAGCCCAGAACAAAGACCCAGTGCAGCCGAAAAGAAATGAAATAATTTTTTTAAAGTTCTCATTAAAAAGTAGCTACTTAATGCAAAAAAGGGGAAGTGTCTGACCTTAGAAATCACAAATGGATGATCAAACAGTTATCAAAAAATGCAGACTCTAATAATTACTGTGACTTTTTTTTTAATCTGATAAATTTGCTATGGAAGCACTTAGGAAAGAATGACTTTCTGAGCAGAAAGGTGGAGGCCCTGCTACTCTGAGAGGAGGGAGACAGCTTTTTGTTTTTTTAATTATTTATTATAATTGGAGGCTGATTACTTTATTGTGGTGGGTTTTGCCATACATTGACATCAATTGACCCCAGCTGGATTGTCCCAGCGCACCAGCTTTGAGTGCCCTGTTTCGTGGATTGAACTTAGACTGGTGATCTAGTTCATACATGGTAATATACATGTTTCAGTGCTATTCTCGCAAATCATCCCACCCTCGCCTTCTCCCACAGAGTCCAAAAGTCTGTTCTTTATATCTATGTCTCTTTTGCTCTCTCACATATAGGGTCGTTGTTACCATCTTTCTAAATTCCATATATATGCATTAATATACTGTATTGATGTTTTTCTTTCTGACTTACTACACTGTATAATAGGCTCCAGTTTCATCCACCTCTTTAGAACTGACTCAAAGCATTCTTTTTAATAGCTGAGTAATATTCCATTGTGAATATGTACAACAACTTTCTTATCCATTCGCCTGCCGATGGACTTCTAAGTTGCTTCCATGTCCTAGTTATTGTGAACAGTGCTGCAGTGAACATTGGGGTACACATGGGGAGACAGCATTTTGATTAAATTCTGAAGACACTTTAAGATTTGGACAGGAAGAAAAGGGGGAAGAAGGCCAGGATTTAGGGATCTGGAAGAGCAAAGACATAGAAACAAAGTTATATGGGTTACTAAAGATCCATGAGAAGCAGTCCGTTAGGGTTAAAGCAGTGGTTCTCAAATGTTAACCTACAAGCTAGAGCTGGGGTAGTTGTACCTTAGTTATGAGAAATTTATTTTTAAAATATAGATGTCCACTTCTGGCCACAATGAAGTAACAGGACAAGATTTTTCCTCCTGCTTGAAAGCAATGGACAAAATATATGAATTGGTCTTAAAGATACTGGACATCAGATAACAAGAGACAATGAACCCTAAGAAACAAGAAATAAGTGAGTTGACTAATTGCCCAGCTTACTGCCTTGAGAGAAACTGCAGGTAGCTGTGCATGAAGGGGAAACCTAGGCAGATAACAGTAAACTTCAGGTTGATGAGATAGAGTCTAGAGTCTAGGTCTATATAGATCTCAGCAGCTAGAGTTCAGACTCCTTCCAAGTAACTTAACTGAGTTACAGAACAAACCTAAAGAATACTTACATGAATACAATAATACCCACCACCCAAAGATAAAATGTCTAGCATCCAAACAAAAACTCAAGATATGCAAGACATGCAAAGAAGCATGAAATTGTGACCCATACTGAAGAGGGAAAAATCAATTAAAACCTACCAAAACTAAAAAAAAAAAAACTAAAAGTAAACTTATATATGATCTAGCAATCCCACCCAGAGGGGACTATAACTTGAAAAGATACACACACCGCAGTGTTCATTGCAGTACTAATTACAATAGCCAAGGCATGGAAGCAACCTAAATATCCATTGACAGATGAATGGATAAATAAGACGTGGTATACACACACAAGGGAATGTTGTTTAGTTGCTAAGTCATGTCTGACTCTTGCGACCCCCTGGACTGTAGCCCTCCAGGCTCCTCTGTCCAAGGGATTTCTCAGGCAAGAATACTGGAGTCAGTTGCTATTTCCTTCTCCAGGGGATCTTCCTGACCCAGGGATTGAACCCACATTTCTTACATTGCAGGCAGATTCTTTGCCACCAAGCCATCAGGGAAGCCTCACAATGGAATATTGGTCAGTCATAAAAAAGAGTGAAATAATACCATTTGCAGCAACACAAGTGGATGTAGAGATTATCATACTAAATGAAGTAAGCTATACAGAGAAAGACAAGTATATGATATTGTCTATACGTGGAATCTGTAAAGAATGATACAAATGAACTTATTTGTAAAACAAATAGGCTCACAGGCATAGAAAACAAACTTATGGTTGCCAAAAGGGAAGGTGGAAGATAAATTAGCAGTCTGGGATTAATATATACAACTATTATATATAAAATAGATAACCAACAAGGACCTACTGTATAAAACAGGGAACTATACTCAATATCTAGTAGTAACCTATAAGGGAAAAGAATATGAAAAAGAATGTGTGTGTGTGTGTGTGTGTGTGCGCAACTGAATCACTTCTGTACTCCTAAAACTAACATAACATTTTAAATCAACTATATTTTAATTTAAAAAACTGACACAGGTGTAAGATTTAGCAAATAAGGGCAATAAGTAATTATTTCAAATATAGTCAATGTGTTCAAAAGTTAAATAGCAATAAAACAGGCTCAAATCAAATTTCTAAAGATGAAAAGTACATGTAAGATGAAATAATAAAGTAGTTGAGTTGATTGACCGATTAGACATTGCAAAAGAAAAGCTTAGTGGACATGAAGATGAGGCAATAAAACTGTCCAAAATAAAACACACAGGGGCTTCCCTGGCAGTCCAGTGATTAAGACTCACCACTTCCACTCCAGGAGACACAGGTTTAATCCCTAGTCAGTGAACTAAGATCCCCCATGCCGTGGGGTTAAAAAAAAGAATAATATTTTTAAAAATACATACAGCATCAATGAGCTATAGGTCAATTTCAAGCAGCCTCATAATATCTATAATAATAAGTGCATAATTGGAGTCCTCAGAAAAGAAGAATGAAGGCAGATAAAAATTACTTGAAGAAATAATAGCCAAGTTTTTTCCAAAGTTTTATGAAAACTATAAACGCACAGATCCAAGAACCTCAACAAACCCAACACAGGAATCATGAAGAAAACTACAAGGCATAACAAAATAACATCTTCAAAACAGTGACAGTCTTAACAGTATCTAGAATAAAAAGACATGCTTCATACTGAGAAACAAAAATAAGGATGACAAGAGATTTATCATCAGAAACAATGCAAATGAGAACTACAGTAGAGCACCATTTTAAAGTAAAGAAAGGAAAATACTGTCAAACTAGGACTCCAAACCTCAAAATATATTACAAAAATGAAGGCAAAAGACAGATTTTTCAGACATACAGAGGCTGAAATAATTGATGACTAGCATTTCCATGCTATAAGAAATGTTAAAGGAAATCTTCAGGAAGAAGGAAAAAGATGTTAGATGAAAAAATAAAGCTACACAAAGGATAAGGAAGCATTAGAAATGGTAAGAACATGGGCAAATATACAAGATTTCTTTATTACTTAAATCTCTTTACAAGTTCATTGTTTAACAGTTAAACTATTGGACTACTAGAAATATTAAGTGAATTTATCAAGCTTAGAGGGTACAAGATCAATAACAAAAAAATCAACTGTATTTCTGTGTAATAGCAATGAAAATCAGGAATAGAAATTTTAAAAATAGTACCATTTACAGTATATCAGAAATATGAAATGTAGAAATAAATATGACCCCAAAAATGTGCAAGCCCTAAATACTGAAAGCTAAAGAAGATGCTGAAAGGAATTCTGAAAGACCTAAATAAACAGAAGTCCATACCTAGTTCGTGAGTTGGAGGACTCTGATATTGTTAAAATGTCAATTCTCCACCAGTTGATCTAAGGATACATTGCAATCCAAATCAAAATCCCAGTAGACAATCTTATAGAAATTAACAAACTGATTCTCAAGTTTACATGGAAATGCAGAGGACCTAAAATAACCAAAACAACTTGAAAAAGAGCAAAGTTGGAGCACTGAGGTGTCCCAATTTCAAAACTTAATAGAAAACTACTTAATCAAGATAGTATAGAATTGATGTAAAGATATACAAATATATGAGGAAAACACAACAGAAAGTCCAGAAATAAACCCACATATATATATATATATAGACAACTGATTTG